TTTCCTGTGCAAACTGTATGTTAATAGCAAACTAGTGGAAGTTTCTCTTCAGTGAAGCATTCCAATTAATATATTAATAAATGGTAGCATAAGAATCTAATTCTACAAAATCCTGTCCCCCCCCAAAAGGGGGAACTTAAGCAATGTGACCAAAAAGATAACCAGAATCAGTTGCTTCTACAGGAAAAATACACCATTTATGAAAAAAACTTCCTAAACAAATTGAATTTTCATATGATCTAGACTCTAGATCTAACTACCATCTATGGTATATATGGTAAATGTTGTTAAACTGTACAAGAATGCAAGCAATGAAATACTATATAAAACTCTATAGGGCAAAAAAACACAGCTTTTCAATAAAAAATTGCAAGAAGAAAAGTGGCAAAAGGAAAAAGAGGGAGAAAAAATCGAAATTTAAAAAAGATGTCAGAGATATCAGCCAATTGCAATATACAGACCGTATTTGTTTCTTGTTTTGAATAAACAAACTATAACAATAAGATTTATCAGATAATTGGGATTTAGACACTGTATTTGATGATATGAGCAATTACTATTAATAGTGAGTTTTTTAAATTGTGATAGTGTTATTGTGGTTGCATTTTAAATGAAGTCCTACCTTTCATGCATCAGAATCAATGGAGCCTTATCGAAACAAATTTTGGGGTCTCACATTGAGAAATTTTATTTAGCGTGTCTGGGTGGTTCTTATGTCTCATAAGTTCCCAAATGAGACCAAGGCTTCTGGACCAAGGGCCACACTTTGAGAATCACAGGTTTATAGATAACATGCTGAAATTGTGTGGATAAACCAACAGACTTGGGCTCACTTCATCCCTGGAGAGCAGAGGGTAATGTGGGTGCAAGTAAAATAATGTTGTTAATTGATAATTGGATCATGGTGGTTACTTTATGAAGTTTCATTAGATTATTCTTGCTACATGTTTGAAAGTTCCTCAACCAAAAGGTTAAAATGTAAAATACAGGGCTGGGGTTGTGGCTCAGTGGTAGAGCGCTTGCCTGGCATATGTAAGGCACTGGGTTTGATTCTCAGCACCTCATATAAACAAATAAAATAAAGGTCCATTGACAACCAAAAAAAAATATTTTTTAAAAATGTAAAATGTGAAATTGTATAAAATATTTAAATGATAAGCATTAATATTCAGTGAATTGTTTGAAGCATATATTTAAATTACATATCATGTATAGTATCTTTGGGATTTTTTTTTTTAATTCTACATTTCTTTAAAAACTATGTATCAAACTTTTCACCGGCTTCTTTCTCACAGTTGTCTTCATTATCAACAATGTCCTTTTTTGAGCCATTTGACAGCTTTCTAGAACACATCAGGGGCTTGGTCTAAGTTGTTTAAGAAACCAAACTTCAAGTCTGCATTTGATGCTTTTTCTGGAATTTCCTCTCAAGCCACAGCATACTTCTCACAATATTAAGACAATTAGCAGTTGTGCTCTCTTGTCTTAGAGGATCAGAATTCATAACTTCCATAATGTAACCACTTAAAAATTGTTCTACTAGGAGCAATATTTAAAATATTTGTTTACACTTCCAACATTTGCAAGTTTCAACACCGCCAAGGAGAGTTAGTAAATGTGTGTTAATTTTTATGCTTTGTTTGTACCAATTATTTTAAGCCAGTATCACAATACTATTATTAATCAAAGTCACTTCAGGCTATTTTGTCATCCCCCAAGCAGTATTTTGTGATTCAAGTAAACCAAATGAAAGAAGCCCCGTATATCAGAAATTTGTAGGCGCTCTGGCAGCTCCCAAGGTCAGATGAATCTTGATCAGAATTTCCCATTTCATCTTCTTTGACACTTTAGGGACACTCTTATTTTTTTTAAAAAAAAAACAGCAGTTCAGTCCAGGGTGATTTATATTAGTAAAGGGAGAAATCTGATGGTGCAACCAGGCACTAGTAGCGCCAATGGCTTGTCACTGTTTCATGACACTGTCTCTCTATTCATTCAACAGACTCAGCACTGGTTTTGATGCTGGGGTTCAGCAGGATACAAGAGAGAGTGTTGGCCCATGTGGAGATCATATTACTGGAGGGGCATACACTTCAAAAATAGTATCAAATATAGTCTGGGAATTTACAAAATATTTAAAGTACACAACACTCATTCTTCACAATACCTGTGAGAGTGAAATGCATGTTCCTTTTTCTGTAGGTGAGAATATAACATTTAGTTTGTGATATCTAGGCCAAAAGACTTATGAGGACAGGAACCATGGGTGCCTTGTTCACCTGTTTCTAGAGTGCCAAGGATAAAGGTGCTCTCACTTCCGGTGTTTAAATGAAAGCAAAGAAGGCTAACAGGCACCTTGACTCTGTTGGAACTATGAAATATAGACATCTGTCTGTATCGCTTGGTTCCAGGACCCCTAAGGGTACCAAAATCTAAAGATGCTCAAGTCTTTTATATAAAATGGCATGGTACATCCTTATATCCTCTCATATACTTTAAATCATCTCTAGATTACTTGAAATGTCTAATAACATGTCAATGCTATGTAAACTGTTGTTCTATTGTATCATTTAGAAAATGACAAGACAAAAAGGTCTGCACACATTCAGTATAGATGCAACTATTTTCCCTATGACATTCATTGAATCTGAGAATGGGGAACTAGTAGATACACAAGGGTTTTCTGTATGTATATAAATACCAAAAAAATGGGAATATTTTATGTTGCAAATAATTTGCAAAGAAAAATACTGCACCCAGAACAATATGTCTGAAAGACCTAACTAAATATTTCAACAGAGTGAAATTTCTCTGTGAACTAAATATTAAATTTCTCTTATTTTAGGGCAGTAGTAAAAAAAACAAGAAGCAGATCTTGTCTGCAAAATTTACTGGGAGGGAATGTTGGGCACGCTTACCTAGTCATTGCTCTGCTAAAACCATTTCCATGGTCCCCCATTGCCCTCAGAATAAAGCATAGAGGCTGATTCACTGCCTCTTTCCTGCCTCCCTCTCCAGCCTTATCTTTTGCCTTTTCCAAAAATTTATGCTCTGGAAGCATCCGTCTCTCTCTCTCTCTCTCTTTCTCTCTCTCTAACATGCATGGGTGTACCTTTGAAGTTTTCTATATCAGTTCCCTTTTTCTGTCACCTTCATTCTTCTCCCTTTCTCTCTCCATTCGTTTTTATCTAGATGTAACTTACTTTTCAAGCCTGGACTTAGGTGTCAGTCCCTCTGGAAGGTTAGGTGGGCATTTGGACCATTGCAATAGTGGCCTACCACCCCCATATGCTTGCTGTGCCTTCCTCTCTCTCAAGCTCTAAGGGCAGGGGTAAGTCTGGTTTTCTTCTCTCAGGCCTATCACAGTGCCTTGACCAGACTAGGCAAGTCATAGATATTTCTTAAATGAAGGAATAAAATTATTTAACTTCTGCAAACCTCAGCTTTCCTAATGTAAAGAGGATTTAAAATACCTACCTCATATTAAATTAAATGGCATTAGTGAAGCCCCCACATCATGCCTTATACAGAGTATAGGTCAAATAAATAGCTTGCTATTTTTACGTGTCCTCTAGGACCCTCGGTCATCCGAGACCACTCTGAAAGCCTCTTGGTTTTTCTTTAAAATACTTCATGACTACTAAGCCCTTGTTGGCTGCTATTCATCTTGAAAGGTTGTTCAGCATGACTATCAATTGTGTACAGATAATTGTTTTCAGTTCTTCAAATCTTGTCACCTTTCAGTGGCCTGATACTAAAAAATAACCACGTGTCTCAATTTTTACTCAGTATTTTGTTTTAATCACATCTAATAAACTGACAGACATGAGGACAACTGCCTTCGAAGAAAGAGTTAATCACTTACATTTCCCAAGAGAAGGGGTCATACCCACCCCATGAGGGTCACGTGGGGAAGCACAGAGTGGGAAGGTGAGAGGACAATATAGGAAAAGCCACAGAATTTGGTGAGGTTTCTGTAGGAAAAGCAAGGCAGAGCAGGGGAACAGCTTTGTACTGGCCGGTCAGAATAATTCCCTCAGGCTATGGGACATAAAGTTGGCTTCTATTTGTCTAGAACCTGGTCCTGGGTGGATTTGGGGCAGAATAAATAATGGCTTAGTATGTGAAAGTTAGATAAAGGGAGCATTTGGGGGTTTGAACTCAGAATTGGTTGGTTTGTATGAGTGAAAGATGTGTTTGCAAGAGAGTTGTTTACCGTCTCTAGGAATCACCCAGCCCTGGGAAGAGCAGTCTTCCCTAAGTGGCAGAGTCCCTTATCCTAAGATGTCAAACCATCATAAAATGCAGACAGTTAAAAAAATTGGTTCATACACTATGCTCTATGGCAACATGCAATGGGACTTTATTCTTGACCCCAGTTTGATTATTATTCTATGGTAACCTTTAATAACATTGCTCACGGGCTGTAATATTCTTGGCTTTTTAATCTCTTCCATTCTTGACAAAGCTCACAATTTCCATTGCAGCTCTTCCTGAACCTGCTAATTTAAACAGCCTAAGGATGCTCTTATCAATAAATACTCCACATTTGCCTACAAACACTTTATGTTTTACCTTTTTTTTTTAGGTCTGCCACAGACACTTTTCTTGTACAAATGAGACAGTATCTAATTGTTAACATATTTGTCAAACATGTGTTAATTGCCTGTTTGCTGAAATGTGTGTCATTGCAAGCTTTCTTCATTGGGGATTTAATTTATTTAGAATCAGGATTGTGTTTAAAGGAGCTGTTTGTCTTACATTCTCCCTTCTTTCCCCTCTCCCCAACCTGTCTTTCCTTGCTTCCATTTGTCTTCTTTTTTTTTAAGAGAGAGAGAGAGAGAGAAAGAATTTTTTAATATTTTTTATTTTTAGTTTTCGGCGGAACACAACATCTTTGTTTATATGTGGTGCTGAGGATCGAACCCAAGCCGCACGCATGCCAGGCGAGCGTGCTACCACTTGAGCCACATCCTCAGCCCTTGTCTTTCTTCTTTAAGTTTCCTCATCAGGCCCACTGCAGCTCTGTACCATCTGGAGACCAGTCACTATCCTACATGCATGGCCTCCCCAGGAGAAATCTTAGAGACCAGTCCTTGGAGCAGTTGGTGAGGGGTGGCCCCAGCCAACCTGAGGTATGTACTCAGAGTTGTCAAGTTGTTTCCTACTGTGAATGAACAGGTATTATTTGTTGTCTGCATATCTTTAAAAAAAAAAAGCCACTTTTTTTTTAGTTGTAGATGGACACGATACCTTTATTTTATGTATTTATTTTTATGTGGTGCTGAGGATCGAACCCAGTGCCTCACACGTGCTAGGTAAGTGCTCTACCATTGAGCCACCACCCCAGCCCCTTTTCTGTATACTTAATGTGGAGCAGATGATAACACAGTCTGAGGATGGACCGATGGATACTAAACTCCATATGTCCAGATGGCTTTCTGGGAAACATCCTTGATGAGTTTATAGGCCAACCCTACAGATCTAACTGAATTCATCATCTTCCTGTCCCTGACCTACCTTCCTTCCAGAGATTTCTAGGATTGAAGGGCCATTGTGCTCCCAATTAACTGAGTCAGGATCTGGGCTTCATCCTTGGTCTAAACCCCGTCCCTAAACTTCCCCATCCAATGAGTCTATAAGATAGATTATCCTAATTCTTATGCAATTAAAGAAGAATTTTATTTTGTAAAAGACAGATGGTGGATGTTAAGGAGCCATGTGTACTCTAAGAAGATCTGCTTCCTTTTTTCTCCTGAAGGAATAGACCTGAGGCGTGGTACACGAATGACAACACAGCTTGGATACTCGCCCTCTGGAGTGACCCTGTGATTCCAGCCCCTGTGCACTTTTGCATCCTTGTCTGGGCTTTTCACCATCTTGTATTAAAGCCATGTTCATTCCTTTTCTCATCGTTGTGTTAGGATATCGTCCAGAGGCCCAGTGGAACAACAAAAGAAGATTCTTTTCTTCTTGCCCTGGTCAGAAAGGAACTCAAGTCACACCCTCTGAGCTCCAGATTGTTAGACAAAATTCAGAAAGAGCTGACAAACCTGGACCCAATCTCTTCAGGGTTTCTCCTTCAGTCTCAGCTGAGCCACCTCTTCCTGAGGCATGGAGTCCCTCTGCAATTGCCAACAGTCAAGATCCTTTGCCAGAGATTTTCTAGGAAGGGCTCTCCTGAAATGGTATGGCCACTATTCTAAGTGTGGATGTCTTTTATGTCTCTTATTTGTACCCACCGGGTAATAGAATTAAGAAGTTGTGTGTTTTTTTTCCTTGAAAACAACCTTTTCTATGGACACTGTGTTATTTAGGTTTTCATCCCTATGACCAAAATACCTGACAAGAACTACTTGGAGGAGGAAAAGTTTATTCTGGGTTCATGATTTCAGAGGTGAAGTCCATGGTTGGCCACTCCATTGCTCCGAGCCAGAAGTGAGGCAGCACAGTGTGGTGAAAGAGCATGGCGATGGAAAGCGACTCCACTTCAGCACCCAGGAAGCAAAGAGAGAAATGGGAAGATGGCAAAGGAAAGATGAACCCTCTCATGGCAGGCCCCCAGTGACCCACCTTCTCCAGCCGTGCCCTACCTGCCTACAGTTTCCACCCAGTTAGTCCAGCCAAACTAGAGTGGACTGATTAGGTTACAGCTCTCATGATCAAATCATTTCACCTCTGAATATTTCTGCATTAACATAGGAGTCTTGGGATTACTCTTCATAGCCACACCATAAAAGATGTCTAAGCTTACTTATATTCATGTGGAAATTTCTAGTTAGAACAGACAGGAATAGAAAATAGATGTAGGGTTCTTACCTCTGTTTAATTTCTCTTGAAATTGGTATCCTGTCTTAAATTTTACCGTCTGCTTTCAACACCACGAGGGTGGTTCATGATGATGGGCCCTCTTGAGTCTAGTAATGCGCTCTTTCAGTTAGAACAGAGAAATTGGCAAAGATCTCCTGTTTGTTGGGACAAGTCCTTAGACTGAGAGAGGTAGGGGATATCTTTGAAATATGATTTACCACCACCTGCTGTGACCCACACAACCATTAATTAGAAACTGGTAGGAGCCATGGAGGATTTAGAAATACAAAAAATTGTAAACCCAGTGGCTTGGGAAGCTGAGACAGGAAGATTGTGAGTTCAAAGCCAGATTTAGCAAAAGTGAGTTGCTAAGCAACTCAGAGAGACCCTGTCTCTAAATAAAATACAAAAAATAGGACTGGGGATGTGGCTCAGTGGTCAAGTGCCCCTGAGTTCAATCCCAGGTACCCCCACATTGTCCTCCAATGGAGAAACAATGACCCAGAGCTACTATAGCATGTTTATTATATAGATTTTCTCATCAAGAGGTTATTTGTGGAGTTTCTGCAAAGCAGACAGTCTTGAAGGTCACAATCACTTGTGAGACTTTGTGGTTATTTGACTATGCCCAGAATTCTCTACCCTCAGCAGCTAATGCCTAAGCTCAAGGTCCAGACTGATATAGTGCCTTGCCTTTGTACAGAGCCTCCTCAAGTAAGGCATCATCATAGCAACTGGACAATCTTGATCTGCACCTTTGCACAGGAAGTTCCCAGTGCAGAGGCAGCCACAAGGCAGTCAGAGACCATAATCCAAGTCACTGCTCTCCACAATCACCATTTTACAGATTAGAAAACTGATGCCAAGAGGTTGCCAAGGACTTGGCTCAGGACACTCAAGAATTAATGGCAGAGCTGAGACACAAGCTCTCCAACAAGGCCAAAGTTCTTTGGATACTGCACATCTCTGGGCACTGAGCCTGAACTCACACTTGTAGCAGAATATAATGTGGTCTAAATATAACCAAGTTCCCAGAACCACAGGAAAATATCCACAAGAAGAACTAATAGCCATGAACAAATCATTAGTGAGTATGTATGAATAGCAAGCCTTGTTTCTGAAGAACAAACCTCAGAAACCTGGACTTTAATCCTAGTTCCATCTTTATCTCTGTCCCATGGGGTTCATTCTACTTAATGTCCCTTATGTCTCAGTGATACCATCTGGAAAGCCAGGTCAAAACCAACCTCATAGATGTTGACTCAAGATTTAGTGACAGGATAAATGCAAATTTGTGGTCCCATGTCCAGCATTTAGGGGATACTCAAATGTTAGTGCTCTCTTCTCTAACCTCCCCAAGTGAAATCTCTGAATATTTATGAGTTATTTAGCAATACAATGTCAGATTATTATACAAAGTATATATGAAACTTTCTGGCTAACCCCTAGTTTATATATAGCTTCCTTCCTTCACTGCTACCCTCCAATTCCCTAGAGTCACCTACAGACCAGAGCTCCTAGGATCCCATCCAGACCAGCAGTGGACATGGGTGACATTCCCTCAGTCCTTTCCTATGTAGAAAAGTAATTTTGAGATTTTTTTCACCTAGGCTAATAGATTCTTATCCTTATAAAAGCTGAATTCATCTAAACATAAGCATGCATTCTATATGCTAAATATGTTAGGGATGTGAGAGGGAGACCGAGAGAGGCTAGAGTCAAATGTTTATTTTTTAATCCACATTACATTTCCATAACAAGTCAACCATAGGCCCTTCTCCTCACTATCTTAGTTACAGGACCCAGGCTGATGGAACAGCCACTTTGGAATATTTTTGGAAATGATAGAAGAGAGGAGGGAAAAAGTGAGCTCCAACGGGTCTCATGGCAACAGTTCAATCCTCCACCCAAAGTGGCACTTGTCACCTCTGCTCATAAGACATTAGCCAGAACTAGTCACACGGCCCTACCCAAATACAAGGCAACCAGGAAGTAGAATTTTACATTTTGTACAGAGGGATAATAATATTTGATTTTAAAAGACACTAACTCTTATATTTCCATTTTTAAACAATTTTTAAAAACTTTAAATATAAAAAGTTTCCAAATACATTTTATTTCAGCAGGGTTTTTTTCCCTTCATATAGAGTAAATGAGGCTGTTCTTATACTTAATTTTCAGGTGAATTATGAAAAGCTACTCTGGTTTTTAAAAAGTGCAGCCTCAGATGACTTACAGCAAAGCAAAACAGTTGTGGACAGCAACCTGAAGAAAACTCAGAGTCAAAGTGATCCTAAGCAAAGGTATTTCCTCCCTTTTCCTGGGCCCATTGTTCTGATGTATCTCAGTCAATTCAGGCTGCAGTCGTGGAGTACCACAGATTGGCTGGCTTATAAAGTGCTAACATTATTTCTCATCGTTCTGGAGTCTGGACGTTTAAGACTAGTGTGCCTGCCTATGATTAGTGGTCCAGTTCTGGTGAGAGTCCTCTTCCAGGTTGCAGACAGCTAACTCTTTCCTGCATCCTTACTGGCAGGAAGAATGTGAGCCCTCTCTAGCCCCTTCTTATAAGGGCATTGATCCCATTCCTGAGGGCTCAACCCTCAGGACCAGATCACCTCCCAAAGCCCCACCTCCTGGTACCATCATGCTGGGATTAGGGTTTCAACATTTGAACTTTGTTGGGAGAAACATCCAGTCCATTGCACTAGACTTCTAGAGCTGGCAGGGATCTTGGAGGCATTCACTCTAAAATATTCCCAATGCAAAATCACTTTGCTCTTCACCAACACTTGGCTTATGCATATAATTTTTTTTCTCCTTCTCTTGTATGCAGGCCAGCATAGAAAGTTATTTGTAGCAATTGCATATGTTTCTTAACACCAAGCATGTGTCTTTTTATGAGGTTGTTGTGTGAAAATGAAAAACCTCATTATGAAATAAGAAATGATTGTGTATGGGTGCAGAGCTCATCTATAACATATGATTCCAGAAATAGGTTCTGTCTGTGAACCTCTGGGTTACAGGCACTAGCTAATGGTTGAAATATAGAAATCAGTAATACCTTCACATAATCTTAAGGAAAAGAAGTGACTGAAATTTTCAAAAAGGTTGTGGGAAATATAATTATAAATGCAGCACACCAAAGTATGATATTCTGCACAAAGAAAAGTGACAAAGTGCAGTCGGTAGGAACATGAGCTCCACGGCCAGAAAGCTGAGTTGAACTTCTGTCTCTGCCATTAGTAACTGTTTGGCCTTGGCATTCACTTAACCTCTCTGTGCTTCCATTCTGTAATAGGAGAATAAGAATAGACCTTTGTTGATTTGTAACAGTACCTGAGTTAATAAATGCAAAGTTCTTAAAAACAGTGCCTAATACACAGTCAGTGCAATATAGGTGTTTTTTATTACTTTTAAACTTCCCTCCAGACAACCTTCTGTCAGTTACAAACAATGTGACTTTTTTTGGAAAAATGTCCCTGGACCAAGCATTAGAATTGATTCCTCTCTACAGGGTGCCACTTTTGACCATGATTCTTTATTTAACAAAGACTTATAGGATAACAGCTGATTGTCAAGTCCATTTTTCTGGCCCAGTCAATTCCAAAGTTAGCAAGTTCATAATCCACAGAAAATGGATACTCTGCCTGAGTACTGCAGTCCAGTATAGTTCTGGAAGCAACTGACCTACTGGGAGCCATAAGCCTTAGAGATTTTTTAAAATAAGTGCTCTCCCTTCATGTAATACAGATTGTAAAATCATGGTCCTAAGAGGTTATTCACTATGTAGATGAACATATGGCCATTCATTTATAGAAATTGAGCCTTTTAGTTCTAGAAAGGAAGCCTTTTCTGACCCCTGAACTAGGTTCTATCTCTTTGTTTTATCATACCATAGGCTTCCCCTTCATAACAGTCATTGCATTTATAAATATTCATTTGAAGATAGGAATGGTGTCTGTCCTCGTGAACTATCTTAATCCTAACATAGTTTGTGGCATATAAGAGGTGCTCAATAAACATTTGTTAAATGTAATTGGCATCTTCAATTATCTGAAGAGCTTACATCACTAGGCTTGCAGGGACATGTGCATATCTGCTCTATTTTTAAAAAGTGCATTAAATCATTTTGAGCACATCAGAGAAGGCACTGCTTTATATGGACCAGAGAGTGTGTCTATAGAAACACGGGACTGATGGGCTGATGTAATGAAGCCCAGCTCTTTGATAATGAACACGCTATGCAAGAAAACAAACTCTCCATAGTTTGTCAGATAGAGGCTCTAATGGAGTAGCTCTGTGATGGGGCAGCAATAGCCCTCATTGCCTAAAATAGATCAAAGGAAATACATCCAGCAACACACTTTCCAAGAAACCCTATCAGCTGCAGTAAGTGGGTTCCACACAACATCTACCCACTAAGTACTGAGCCAGGGTCAAAGCCTCATGAATTCCTACTCCCAGGAGCTGGTGTTGCCAACAAAGAGGAAGGAAACTACGGATTCAAATCTTGAACAGACATTCCTACTGGCAGAGTCTGGGTCATGTGCCCTAGTGTAGAGAGTGGCTAGTAACGCAAATACCAATATTCTCTTGCTAGAATGAGACAGACTGTGTTGGGAGCTTGGAACTTCCTGAACAAGGGAAGGAGAGGCGAAAGCTGCTGACCAAACCAAAGACACATGTCCACCATTCCTTTCCTGGACCAAACGTTTGGAAAATATTACATATTATTAAGTAGTTCAGAATCATATAATTTGGGGCCAAAGCTCCTCTAAGAATAATAGAGGGGGAAAAAGTGTAAAACATGACTTTTAGAAAAAAAATTATATACATCTAAAACTAATCAATTCCATGTACTGCTCAAAATCCCTGGGAAATAGTAAGGAACAAATCAGACTTGAACTTATGGAGCAGCCAATCAGGGAAATAAGATTTGAAACACTAAGGAATAGACCTGTGATCTGAAGGGAGACCTATTAAGATATGAAAGGGTATATCTAGCACAGATACCCTAGGGCAAAGCATGGGGCCTGATTATGCACACACCACTTCCCAACTCTTCATTCAAAGATGTCACCTTGTTATGTTAAAACCAGCCAATAACAGAAGTATTTATACCATGGAAATTGGTAATGCTACAAATCAGGGCTTTATCTTGAAGGCTTGGTTAAGGATTTACCAGCACACCACTGAAAGGAACATGATTCAAATGAGTAGCGTTTGGGGGAGATCATAGAATGTCCCTTTAGGAAATTAGCATTTAAGTTGAGACAGTGTACATCAGGAAAAGCTTCACAAAGAAGACAACAGTTCAGCTGAATCTGGAGGAACAAATAAATCTGAATGTTAGGTGAGTAAAGATCTCAAATTAGTTCACAATACAAATGACTATAAAGTTTTATCTTTATTACTTTTCACCCATTATTTAAAGCAAAAATAACTTGATAAACCATCTTAATAATTATATACATTTGCATGCCAGATTATAAATAAATGATTACTCCCAAAATATTTCTGGGTTTCCCAGATCTAAAAAGCAGAGTCAAAGACAATGCAGACATTCTCCTGATTTGGGATTTCCTCCTGTGTAGGTTCCCTGTTACAGGGATTTGGCAGCATCTGCTTTGCCTTGCTCTGCTAGTAGCAATAAACAGTGTGGAAATTTGATTTACCATCAATAATTATCTGAGTTTAAGAAAAGTAAGATCGATTAGGAAAACTACTACAATCATTTGTTTTTCTCTCCATTTGGGAAAAAGAGGAGGTTGATTTAAGAATCTCAGTCTATATTGCAGTCAGATTGGTTGGTGCCTCATGGGAAGAAGCTCTAGAGCTTAGTCCGATGAGGCAGGTTTTAGTTAATCTGTAAAATTTTCACTTGCAGTCCCATGACCAGGTCACCAAATATTTAGGATGTAGCCCATGGGTTCTTGGGGATCCACGGTGGGTAACAGAGTTGAGAGACACAGTATGGAAACACATAGCTACTTCAAATGCATCTTCTTTTCATAGCCTTTCCTCTGCCCCTCCAATAAGAACCCCACCTCAAGACTCCAGCTCACCATCAGAAGAGGACAAGAGCCTGTTGGAGATTTTGAGGATGGTACTAAGGACAACCAATGGCAAACTCAACATAGAGAATCTCAACTTGAGTTTTCGAAAAGAAGACCGTTCATTTTCTGGCTGTCTCCCCCCAGCCAAGGTATACATTTCAGATTTTTTCAGCTAAAGGCAACTTCAGAACATTGAGTCTTCAAAAATAAGGAGTAGTTATGATCTCTATTCTGCCTGTGAATGACATTACACAATTGTTTTTTATGCTTGTGAGGAGAAAAACAAAATACAAAAGGAATTATGAAATGTGCAGAATTGGTCCAGGAATTACTTATAATTGGGCTGTCTTATGTTAATAATAGAAAATATGACAATATCCAAATAATATTTCACAATGGAAAACAATATTTTCAAGGCCAAATTCATTTCTCACATGCTCTCCCAGCTTCCAGTAAAATCAGCATGTGGTGTCTCATTCCTTAGGAACACCATATTTTAGGGACTGATGTAATTTATTGCTGATAGAGGTTAGCATGCTGTTTTGGAGCATTAATTAACAGTGCAGATGTGTTTCATGAAAGAAGATCCAGAACCATATTAATTCATGGATATTTGGTAGCCGGATGTACCCAAAACTACCTTAGATACAGGTAAAATAATCATTGCCATTGTTTTAAAAATACCTCATCACCATCACATTACTGAATTCTTATAAGAACCTTGCAAAATGCTTTACTTACATGATCTCATATAACACTGAAAAAGTTTATTCCTTATAAAATACCACAAAGGTAAACATTATCCTCCCATTTAGTAAATGAGTCGTGAAGAGGTCAACTCCAATCAAGGGCCAGGTACAAGAGGTGGAGCCAGGATTCCAAGTAGAAGAGTTCTGGAAATAGAGAGCCAGAACTGAAAGTCTCCTAGGTAGAAAGTGTCCATTGAATCCAATAGACAAGATTAGAATTTTACAGGATTGGAAAAGGGTGGAAATGACAGCTGGGGAAATGTTCGGTTAGAAAATCAGCATATACCTTTCATCTAGGTATACTGAGGTTTAAAAATGATGTTTACTAAGGAAGCAAGGATACAAGATGCTGAAGGAAGTTCTTATTCTATAACCAAAAACAGCTTCCTCGGAGCCTTCAGATGTAGAGTTAACTGTGCAAAAGCAAAGCTTATATTAATGTCAATGTGTGTGTGTGTGTGTGTGTGTGCGCGTGCATGTGTGTTATACATGCAACATATTTCACTAGAAGGAGAAAGAATAGTGCTGGAGAGTGTGAGGCTGCCCATCATAAATAACTTTTACTGTGTTCATGAGAGAATCTTTAGAAACAGACTAAGAAGCAGAAATTCTTTTTTTAGATTTGAAACCACAAAATACCATTGATGAACCTGAATGCCCTCAAATGATACTCACAGAACGGAACATAAACAGCTTGACAATTAAAATGCATTTACTTAATCTCCTTGAGTCTCTTTTTTTTTTTTCATCTGGAAACAATGGGTTCCAAATAGCTACCTCCTGTGTCTATTCTGAGGATTAAATGAAGTAAGTATGTGAAAGTATTTAGCATACTACCTGACATACCAGGCTCTAAATATTAGCTTCCTTTCCCTCTTATATTAAAAATAGATATTTTTGTGAGAATTTCACTTCAAAACAGCCTATAGGAAGAGGGGCCTCTCATGCTCTGGTGATGGTCACATCGAACACTGGCTATGGGGGAAGAGCTTGAGCGTTCTTATTCCCCAAAAGCTCAATCTTGTGGTTTAGATCCAAAGTAATGGGGCACACTTTCTTGAAGCAGTTCTGCCTTTCATGAGCCATCTGGCATCTCTTAAGACATCTGGAATTCACTCAAAGTCTATTACAGTTCTGGGAGGCATGGAAAATAGAATTTTGTTTCCTCAAAACGTGAGGCAAATTGAGGCCCAAGGGAAGCAGCAGCAGCCACACCACACTTCCTTGCTCCTGGATGCAGGACTTCAGAGTAGAATGGGAAAGGCCATATCTGAACTAGAGAGCTTTTTCCTTTTGACTAGTAGTTCTTAACCTTAGAATATAGAAGACAGATCTGTGAACCTTCTTGATTATCTCATGAAAGCTGTGTGCTTTCTATCCAGGAAAATAAAAATATATATTTAAAAATAAGCATATCCAAACAGCCACTATTTCAAAGGGTTCTCAGACCATCTATGGCTTCCAAGATAAATAAACACTGCCTTCAAGGATAATCCCTAGCTCTTGTCATCAAATCCATGAATTTTGACCAGGCACAAAGAACAGAATGGAAACTGATCAAGTATCTGTCATCTTCGTTCTCTGGACCCACTCTTCCTATTCCTCTTGCACTTTTTTGATATAGTGATGATTTTTGGTGGGACTGCTAATACAATACGGATCCACATATATTTGTTTACCAACCACCTACATTACCCAAGTCAAGTGTAGATTCAATAGGACTGTAGAACATAAGAAGTTCCTAAGTGTTCAGGCTCCATTTAACCATTTACACATAACCCACTTTCTTCACCACTTGAACTCGTCCTCATTCTGCTTCACATCAGGAGCCCTTCCCAAACTCCTGCCAGACCTTCCTCTCAGGAAGAACTCGCTGGAGCACAGGCCACTCATCTCTTAGTACTCTCGGCTTCAAGTTCATGTAGCTTCTTCACTGTTATCAGGAGGGAATTTTTTACTGAGCTGACCAAGGTTTGTAGATGTGAAATTCATTCTTGTGGTAGGGCTTTAGCTGGAACACTAATTTACCTAGTGAGCCAGGACCATCAGACCTTCTGCAGTTCGTCAGGCCCCTTTTTCCATACTTAGTTGTTTCAATATCTGTGCATCTCCCCTAAAACAGTCAAAGCGAAGATTCCTATTAATTCTGAATCACTGCCCTCCTCCAATGCAATAGGCATCTTTCCAATCAATAAGGTATATTTAATCTATTCTTGCATTTAACATGATACTCCCTCCATGTGTTCTAGGCACTGAGGATGATGGGTTGTATTATTTCAGTTCCTTCTTTCTCCAGGAGTGTAGGGAAAAATCAACGTGTCATCACAATTCTGCGATAAACACAGTGGTAGCGCAGACTTTAAAGATAGAGAAAGTGCACCAATGTATCCTGGCCTGAAAGCCCACAATGGAGATGATGCAAATACTGAATCTTAGAGGACAGACGAGTTTGGCAAAGATTGGGGGTAAGGATAATATGGGGCAATAGAAGAGAGCAGAAAGGTATTCTGGGAGAAAGGAACCATGTGAAATAGCACTGGCACAAGGGCTAATTCAGGGACTCCTGTAAGTCCCTGCTCAAATTGTTATTAGAATGGAAAGCAGGAGCCAGTGTGAGAAGGGTCTTTCTGATGAGTGTGAATTTTATCCTAAAGGTCCAAAGTAATCAGGGAAGGATATTAAATTAGTGCATGGTGAGATCGAATTTGAAATTTTAAAAAAGAGCATCCTGATATTATTTGGAGAATTAGTTAGAGGCGGGCAATATTAGAAGCTGAGAGACCCTTTTTGAAGGCCGCTTCAATGATCCAGCAAGAGATTCTGAGGGTTGAAACTAAGGCACTAATAAGAGGGATCGAGGTAAAAGAAGATAGAAAAGCAGGTCCTGGTGTCTAATTGAATGAAAGCTCTGGATTAGGAGGAATTAAAATGATTCCTAAGTCATTAGCTTGGCAGCTGATTGAATGGTGGTGCCATTCTCTGAGAGAGGAATCAGAAAATGAGTAATCTGGAGGGGTACAGGATGGATTGATGAGTTAAACCTGGCCCAGGTAGATCAGTAGAGGCTGAAGCTGAATAATGTTTTAAGACACTTCCATAAGGAGTGGAAGCCATGGGCATAGTTAAGATTACTCAAGGACATAATGGAATGTGAGAAAGGAAGGGGGTCAAGAAACATATGCGTTGTTAAAGAGTAGGTAGCCAAAAAGAAGTCAATAAGAGAGACTAAAAATAACAAAAGGAGATAGGGGAGTGATCAATAAAGCCAAAGGAGAAAAGAGTTTTGGGGGAGTATGACATGATTATCCCAGACTCACACCCACACTACAAAGATATCTTTATAACTAGTGCTATAAAGAATTTGTAGGCAGGCCCATGGCACTTGCCTGTAATCCCAGCTACTGGGGAGGCTGAGGCAGGAGGATAGCAAGTTCAATGCCAGCCCAGCAACTTAGTGAGACCCTGTCTTAAAATAAAAAATTAAAAGGACTGTAGATATAGTTCAGGGGTAAAGCACCTCGGGTTCAATCCCCAGTATCAAAAAATTTAAAAAATTGTAAAATGTAAACTCATAGAAGTTTCTATTAACTTGGTAAACAGAATTAAGTATAGCAGTTGGGTAAAGGGAAATGGAACTACTCATAGGAAAAGAGGGAGTCATGACAGTATGTACCACTCTTTCAAGCAGTATTTTGAGGAAATGTTTAGTCATCTCATATCTTTTTATTTTAAGTAGCAGCTATTTTATTTACTTCTAACTGAAAACCTTTCCTAGTAAGCAGAAGAACATTTTCTTCCTAAGGGTCATCATTATGAATATTAATGCTTTGAAATATTTTAATAATCGTCCTGAATAACCCTAAATGACAAGGCTTTTCTGGTAGATGTTTCTGTTTCTCCTCTTCAACTGTCAGCAGTCAGTTCTTAGTAGCTGTCAATCAATCTGTTTCCAGGAACGTTGATGTACCATTTCTAATCTGCTGTTCATTTTAGCCAAGAGCAAAACTTAGTGTTACCAGAAGTGAGTGATCTGTTTTTAGAATAACCTCTTAATGTTGATGTTTAAAAATACATCAATATGTGCTAATCATGTGGATTATTTTGTTCTTATTTATGGAGTCAAATGGCATAATGCAACCAACTTCTACCTCTTTTTGTTTTGTGCCAACCTCCACCCACACACACTCCACTCTCCAGTGACTTCAACTCATTCATCTGCCCGCTCATTCATCCATGTATTAAATTGTTGATCCTTTATTTTTTTAAATTGTGCTAGGCAATGCTGATAAGAAAATGAATGAAACACAGGTCAAGCACTGATTGAGCCACTGTCATGTAAGAAAGCACAGCAAGTAACAAAAAATTACTGCCTACACAGGAAAAGGATGCAAAACCATACTAGATTGAGTAACGTCAAAACTCATACCTTCCCCAATAGCACCAAGATTGTTTTTACCTATTATTTACTCTTGCTTTTCCTCTACCTAGAATTCTCCCCAACTCCTTATTCTTTAGGTAAACTCTGTTCATTTTTTTCATGTTTCAAAACAATCTTTATTTTTCTCTTTTCAGCTTCCCTGACTTCATTCCTCTGTACCTAAAAAGTAATAGACACAAGCTTCAAATGCAGATTTGGTGTCTTTCCTTTTATAGCAACAAGTGAAGATGGACTTTTGGTGACTGGCTGTTCATTTGTTTTCTAGTTCTGGGGATTGAACCCAGGGCCTCCTGCATGCTAGGCAAATGCTCTACCATTGAGCTACTCCACACTGTTTTAAAATGTAGGTTTCATTATTATTTTGTTATGGTGAGACCTGCAGATCAGGAGACAGTTGTCACTGAAAAGATGGTTTATTTCTTGAAGTTTCTACAAGGAGGAGGCCTGCTGCACCACACAGGGAAGCACCAGGGCAGGCAGCAGGCAGTGGGGGTGAGAGGGGAAATGTGGACAAGAACTTTTGTTGTGTTTTTCTCAAGAATAATGAGCAAAGCAGGGCAAGCAGGTTTAGGATTGGCTAGTTTGGAGAACTTCAGGGGACTCTGGGACTTTAGACTAGTTCCCTAGTACCTAGACCTCAGGTAATTGGGGGGAGAAATAATGGTCCTGTGAGAGCCCTTTGGTTTGCATCTGAAAGTTTTACTTTTATCTGAGTTCTTTTCTCTCTAGAAATTGTCCAACTTTAAGAATGACAAACTCTTTAGAGTCAACAAGGCCTCAGGGTTTCAAAGCAAAAAAAAAAATTAGAAGATACACTTACTATACTCATTGTACTGAACTTCCTTTCAAAATAATAACAGTAGCTACCAATAGTTTAGTTTGGATGATTTAGTTTGGTTACTAGCTACTATTTAGTACAAACATTGAATTAGGAAATTTTTTCTTACTACTTTCCTTCCTTTCTCCCTCTTTCTCCCCCCACCCCACCCCACATCTCTTTCTCCCTTCTCTACATGTCTCTTTCCTCTCCCATTTCTGAATTTCTCTTCTCCCCTCCTCATTCACCTATCTCCCTGTCCTTCCACTCCGTTCCCTTCCTTCTTTTCTTTATTTTAAATAAAATTCAAATGCCTACTAAAAACCAAATGTCATTCTAACTATTCACATTCTCATGTAACCTTCACAGAATCCATGGAAATTAAAAGTATCCTATTTAGTAGATGAAGTAATTGGACACAGAAAGATTAAGTAACTTCCCATGGCACAGGCAGCTGATCTGGTGTACAAAATAAGATCTCTTGGATTCCAAAGTCTATTTTTAAATGATTATTATAAACACACAACATATGCTGTCACATCCATGAAAATATGGCATAATTTAAGCATCATTCACCCACTAACCGGATATCTGAATTGGTTTCTTAGCTGAACCTAGAACATATTACATCCTTGGGAACCACTATGACACTCTATTCAATCAAAAAATATTTATTGAGCATCTGGTGTCTATACAAAGTTAATATAACTTCTAAATTATAAATTCTGTGTCAATTAAATAAAAATTTATTGATTATAAGCATTCAACTAGATATTCTTGTCCTCAATGATATCCAATAGAAGACACTCCTGGGTATTAATTCACCATCAAAATCATGTAGGCTCTAATTATGGAAAGGAAATTCAATCATTAGTTTCATCCTAGTAAAACTTTAAATCTTTTCTTATTTCTAGGTCAGGGCTATATGTGGAAAGCATGGATTATACCTGACCTTGAGCCTGCTGGAAACATTGCTTAACCACCAAAACTTGGGTTACCAAGATGAAATAAAGTAAGTTGATTTTTGTTATAGACTAAATATTTGTACCATTCCTAATTATAAATTCTTGACTTCCAATGGGATGATACTAAGAGGTGAGCCCCCTGAAAGGTAATAGAATTTAGATGACATCATTAAGGTAGAATTGGTATCTTTTCAAGAAGAGGAGACACTTCCTCTTTTGTCGTAAGAGGGCATATACAGCAAGAAGGTAGGGGCCATCTAAAAACCAAGAAGAGGGTCCTCACCAAGAACTAAATCTGTTCAAATTTTGATCTTGTATTTTTCAGTCCCAAACTGTGAAAGACAAATGTATGTTTTTAAAGACTATTGTCACACAGTCTATGGTATTTTAGGAAGCTAAGACAACTTTTTATGCTCTCATTTTTCTACTAGGATGCCAAACACAGAGATCTGTCTTAAGATTACAAGTTTTATGTGTGACCTAATCAATTTCAGTCACTTGAAAACCAGGTTAAAGAATGTTTGCTTTTATTAAGATCAAAGGGTTTTCTTGGTCATAGAAAAACAAAGCAGGAAATTTCTCCTTCTAGCCATTATGAATCATCAAGAGTTATAAAATCTTCACAAAAAAGGGCAAAATATTTGATGCAATGTTTTCAGACATTGGACATCAAGAATTATAGAATGGTGATTCCTAAAAGAAGGAAAACCAATGAGAGCAGCTCAACTTATTGCACAGGAAAGGAGAAGCCAAATAGAACTTAGATGTTTCCTTGAGTTGAAGGAATAGAGTTTGGAGATCAGAAAACTGATCAGAAAGACTGAAGATAGAGGATGGAATGCACACTACAGAGAAGAAGGGAGGAGGAAATAAATCCCCAGAGATATTTCTCTGGAAATTTCCAAGAATTGCCATTGGGACTTCATGAGAGTATTGAGTAATGTATATATTTGAGGAAACTACCCAAGCTAAGAACAGAAACACAAGATAAAGATGTAGAAAAATTTTTAGATCTCTTGCAGTGTTAGAAATAGTTCATTTTTCCAACAGTCAATGAAGAAAACCTCTTAACACATGCCGCATTGAGTAGGGTCCTGAGAAGGGTATTGATTATATTGAAGAGGGGCCAATTACTCCACAAATCTTAAAATCCCTAAAGAAACAAAAAAATGATCAGACTTTCTTCAAACTACTTAAATATATCCAAGAAAAAAGCTCTCAAATTTTTAAAGGAATAAAATCATTTTAATCCATTATGTAAACTTTACAATTTCTAGCATACATACAAAAATTATCAGACATGAAAAGAAGCAAGAAAAGTATGACCTAATATTAAGAGAAAAGTCAATAAAAGCATGTACATTAATAAAACAGAAATATAATTAATATAATTAATGGACAAGGATTTTTTTGTTCTAATTAGTTATACATGATAGTAGAATGCACTTTGATACATCATAACTAAATGGAGTATAAATTATAATTCTTCTAGTTATACATAATGTAGAATCACACCTTTCATGTACATTGGGTAATAATTTCTGATTCATTCTATTATACCTCCTACCCCCATGCCCCATATACTTCATATATGTACTATACAAGAAATATTTTCTTTTATTAAGAATGCATGAACATAATGAGAAATATGGGTGAAAGAAAAAGACACAAATGAAGCTTATAGGTAGAAAAAATACATGTCTTCTTCCTCAAAACAAATAACAGAATAATAATAAGAAAAACATTAAACCAATCACAATAGAGGGATAGCTGACCAGGGCTCCTCAAAATTGTAAGGACCATGGAAAATCTGAAAAATTGTCACTATCGAGAAGAACATAAGAAGACAGGAAGATTAAATCTAATACAGTAGCTAGGATGGAAACTAGAGAAGAAAGGACAAGTCTATAAAATCTAATATGAAAATAAAGTATAAATTTCATTTAATTGAAATGTAACAATATTGGCCCTTAATTGTACCAAAATAGGGTAAGATGTTGATGAAAAGGGAAACTGGGTGAAAGGTGAGTGATAATTTTCTGTCTTATTTTTAAATTTTTTTAGTAAATTTAAAATTGTAATAAAATAGATTATTTTAAAAACGTAATGCTTAACATTTTTCTTGATAGAAATAATAGCAAATTAAACATGGAATAAAAATAACTTGAAGACATAGAAATAAACACTATTCATAATAAAATTAATTATGAAGAATAATGAAGGAAAAATTAACAAAGGATTACTGCAGCTTTGTGACACCATCAACAGATTTAATGTACAAAAATTCAAATCTCAGAAAGGGAAAGAGAGGGGAACAGAAAAGAATGTTGAACAATTAATAGCTGAATTTTTTTCTAAATTTGGAGAAAACTACAAAGACATGGGCCCAAGAAGTTCAATGAATCTTGAGAAAAAATAAATCTTGAAATAAACCATCCAAAGAATCATTATAGACAAATTTCTTAAAACAATGTAAAGACAAAGTCTAAAAAGCACACTGAGACCAAAACAACACCAAATGACAAAGCTAAGAATTATAACAGATTTCTCATTAGGAACAATGTAAGAAATAAGACGGTGGAATGACATCTACACATTATTGAAAGAAAGCTATCAACTAGAATTCTCTATTCAGAAAAGTTGCATTGCATAAAACAAATATGACATAAAGTCTTTGTTACATACCCAAGAAAGGAGTGAATTAATAATCTGCAGATCAACACCACAAGAAATATTTTAATAAGTTCTTCAAATGGAGCAAAAATAATTATTCTATATCTACATGAAGGAATTAAGAGAATGGAAATAGTAAATATGTGGATGAATAAAATAGTACATTTTTGTTTAATTTTTAAAAACTATTTAAAAGATAATTAGATGTTTAAAGCAAAAATAAGAACAATGTTGTATGAAGTTTATAACATAAATAAAAGTCTAATATATGATAACATCATATAAGGACAAGAGGGAAAAGTAAAAAATAAATAAAATACTGTGATGATGCTCTTATACTGTAACTGGAGTACTATAATTTTTTTTAAAGATGCTAAAAGAATACTTTAATTAATTAAAGATGCTAAAAGAATATTTTAAAATGGAAGCCTAACCACAGTCAATACACACAGAGACAAAAAGGTAACAAACAAAATAAATATGACAAATATAAAATAAATATCAATAAGATAGGATTAAAACATAATCACATCAATAGTTACTTTTAGTATAAATGATCCAAATGTACTAATTAAAAAGCAGAGATTTTCAGATTCCATTTGTAAAGGAAGAACTAGTTAAACGCTTTCTATAATAACAATTTTTGATTTAAACATATAGACAAGCTAAAAGTAAAAGGATAGAAAAAGATATAGCACACCAACTCTAAAAAAAGTTGGAACCGTTATATTCATGTCAGACAAAGTAGATTCCCAGAAATCAATTGCATTCCTATATTCCAATGATGAATTAGCTGAAAGAGAAATTAGGAAAAACATCCCATTCCCAATAACCTGGGGATGGGGGGACTTGAAAATCAACCTAACAAAAGAGGTTAAGGACCTCTACAATAAAAACTACAGAACACTAATGAAAGACATTGAGGAAGACCTTAGAAGATGGAAAGACCTCCCATATTATTGGATAGGCAGAATTAATATTGTCAAAATGGTCATACCACCAAAAGTGCTAAACAGATTCAATGCAATTCCCATCAAAATTCCAATATTCTTTATAGAAATAACAAAAGCAGTCATGAAATTCATTTGGAAAAATAAGAGGCCCATATAGCCAAAGTAATCCTTAATGAGAAAAGCAAAACAGGCAGCATCACAGTACCAGACCTTAAATTATACTACAGACCTATAGTAACAAAAACAGCAGGGTATTGGCATAAAACAGGAAAGAAGACCAATGGAACAGAATAGAAGACACAGACACAAATCCATATAAATACAGTTACCTCATACTAGACAAAGGTGCCAAGAACATATTTTGGAGAAAAGGTTGCCTCTTCAACAAATGGTGCTGAGAAAGCTGGAAATACCTATGTAGTAGAATGAAATTTAATCCCCATCTCTTACCTTGCAAAAAAACTCAACTCAAGTGGATCAAAATCCTAGGAACTATAGCAGAAACCCTGCACATACTAGAGGAAAATATAAGCTTAACACTCCAACTTATAGGCTGAGGAACTGACTTCCTTAAAAAAAAGTCCTAAAGTGCAAGAACTAAAATAAAAAATAAATAATAAGATAGCATCAAAATAAAAATCTTCTTCACAACAAATAATCAAGAGTATGAAAAGAGAACCCACAGAATGGGTGAGAATCTTTGCCACCTGCATCTCAGATGGGGCGTTAATTTCCAGGATATATAAAAACTTACACCATAATAATAATAATAATAATAACAACAACAACCCAAATCAGTAAATGGGCAAAGGAACTAAACAGACCCTTCCCAAAAGAAGAAATATGAATGGTCAACAAATATATGAAAAAATGTTCAACATTTCTAGCAATTAGAGAAATGAAATTAAAACTACGAGATTTCTTCTCACTCCAGAATGGAAATTATTAAGAATACAAGCAACAGTAAATGTTGGTGAGAATATGGGGAAAAGGGTACTCACATTCTCACTCATACATTGGTGGGACTACAAATTGGTGCAACCATTCTGGAAAGCAGTATGGAGATTCTTCAAAAACTAGGAATGGAATCACCATTTGACCCAGTTATCCCACTCCTCAGTATATATCCAAAGGATTTAAAATCAGCATACTACAGTAATGTAGCCACATCAATAGTTATAGCAGCACAATTCACAAGACCTAAGCTATGGAGCCAACCTCAGTGCTCTTCAAGAGATGAATAGATACAGAAAATATGGCATATATACACAATCAGATACTACTCAACTATTAAGAAGAATGACTTTGTGACATTGGCCAGTAAGTGGATGGATCTGGAGAGTATCATGCTAAGTGAAATAAGCCAACCCCCTAAAAAAACCAAAGGTCAAATGTTTTTACTGATACATAGTAGGTACCCT